GTCGGGTCCAACCGCGATCTGCTTTGCCGCCCCGCTGCACGGCCAAAAGTTCATCCTATGGAACCCCACCGCTCCGGCCCGAGCAGGAAGGTCTCCCTTGGGTTTGGCTACTCCTCCTTCTCCACCATCCTCATGTGCTTTCCTGGAAAACCCCTTCCCTTTTTTTAAATTCTTCTGCAAGCCATGGCATCGTCTTTAACTCGCTGGAATTCATCAAATTGCACCAAGCCAACCTCACCTTCGACCCGAAGAACGAGTCTTTCTTGCTCCACACCACCAACCACAAACGCCGCCGCCGCCGCCGCAACACCAACTCCATCTCCCTCTTCAACCTCCACTTGGTCCCCAAAACTCTGGAGGCCCTCCGCCACCCTTTTTCCCACGCAAAATTTCATGTCGAGATCGTTAGAGACCCTTCAATTCCTTTTGGTTTTGGGTTATGAATCTATTTGGAGTCGTTCTAATATCCGAGTTCTGCTGATTTGGAACACTTTGGTGACGACTGCGCATTCATGTAGGATAAATTGGGATAAGTCAACAACAATCGTCGAATATCGTTAACCGTTAGGTAAATTAGGCATAAATTTCGTATAACCAAGTTATTATCCTAATTTGTCAAATAAGAAAAAGGGTTTCCATATGTGCCACACGACACATGTTATAAGACATATTTGTTATGATCCCTCCAACCACCTTTTTAAAAATTAATACACTATATTCAATAACAAGACATATGTTATTGTCCTATATACACCAACCTCTTTTTTAAAATTAATACACTATATTCAATAAATCTAATCAAATCCAAAACAACTTATATCTAATTAGACGTTTAGTAAATAATAAGCTAAGGTAGACTTATAAAATTGGAGATGACTTTATTATGTTTTAGTAACAATTTTTTTTCCAAAAAGATTGTTAATTTTACATGTTTCTCTATAAATAATCACGCCTATTGACTTTATTTTTTTGTCTCCAGTCAAATTTCATTATTCAAAGTGTACGACTATTGGATTTTTCTTACTATAAACCTTAGTCCCATTCCTTAATGCTTTCACAATATTCACAATATCTCACATGGAGCCCTTAATCTTATACTCATTACATTGCTTTTCCCTCCTCGCCTTTCTCTACGTCCTCCTCCCCCTTTTCCTCCGAAAACTCGGCAACCTTCCCCCGTCCCCTCCGATCTCCCTCCCGATCATCGGCCATCTCTATCTTCTCAAGCAGCCGCCGCCTCTCCACCGTACCTTATCCAAAATATCCCGCAAATTCGGCCCCGTCGTGCTCCTACACTTCGGCTCCCGCCCGGTCCTCCTCGTCTCCTCCCCTTCCTCGGCCGAGGAATGCCTATCGACGAACGATGTGGCATTCGCCTGCCGGCCGAGGCTCCTCGCCGGAAAGATCCTCGGCCACAACTACAGTACCCTCGTGTGGGCCCCTTACGGCGACTGGTGGCGAAATCTCCGGCGCGTGGCCACCACGCAGATCCTCTCGGCCCACCGCATCCGTTCGTTCGGGGAGACGCGCGCCGACGAGGTCCGCCGCCTCGTCTGCCGTCTCTCGGCCCCGGCTCCGGCGGCCGTCGATGTGAGGACGGCCGTATTCGAGATGGTGCTCAACATCATGACGCGGATGGTTGCCGGAAAACGGTACTACGATGATGGTTCGGGTGATTCATTGGGGGAAGCTAAGGAGTTCAAGGAGATGGTGACGGAGATATTCAGGGTGAGCGGGGCGACCAACGCCGGCGATTTCTTGCCGGTGTTGAGATGGTTGGGTGTGAATGGGTTGGAGAAGAGGCTGAAGAAGTTGCAGGTGAGGAGAGACCGTTTCTATCAGAATTTGATAGATGAACGGAGGAGGACGACGGAGATTGAGAAAGGGGAAAAGGACATGACGTTGATTGATGTTCTTTTGGCCGACCAAGAGACCGATCCCGAGGTGTACACGGATGAATACGTCCAAGGAATGATACAGGTTTGAAAAAAATTGATTGAGTTAAGTTTCGAGCGAATTTCGATCCGTATTTAGAAAATTACAGATCAATGGTTAGTTTTATTTAGCTACTAACCGAAATCTGACCGTTGAATTTTCATAAGATTTACTTCAATAGAAAAATCGTTGTCCAAGCTTCCAAATGACACTTTCCAATAAAAAAATCGGATATCTTGATTATCAGAAAATTTAAATTGAATTTATTTTTATACACACGCGCTCCTACTATCTTCGTGGATCGATTATAGAGATATAAATTTTTAGAAATTCACAAACCATATCTCATTTTGTTTGTCTGGTCATGGGCTTAATTTGAAAGCCCTTAATCAATTTTATAGATTAATTTTGTATTTATCATTAATTGAGTTAAAAACTCTTTTGTGCCATATTAGAATTTTTAATCGAGGAGGCAAATTGTCAGTTTCGATTACATTGAGAGGCAAATTGTCAAAAAATAAAGTTTGTATGACAAACTCTAAAAAATGACATACTTTTGGGGGTTAAAAAAAAAATTCCCTTAAAATTATGTGAGTGAATAATAGTGAATTAAAGTTGACGTGATGTGTGAGCATGATCGACTTATATTACTTAATTACATTAATAATATTGAGAAGAGTTATGTTGAGTTAAACTTTAAGTTAAAATAAAATGATTAATCAGAATTGTATCTGATTAATAATGGTTGAATAATATTTTAGAGGCTATATACATGGAGAGTTGATGGATCAAAGATACAATTTTCATTTGATTTTTTTCCATATTTTAGGTGATGCTAGCAGCTGGGACTGACACTTCAGCACTAACAATTGAATGGGCGATGTCGCTTTTACTGAACCATCCAGAGAGTCTAATCCGGGCACAGGCCGAAATCGACTCCACAATAGGACACTCGAGACTCGTAAATGACTCCGACCTACCAAATCTGCCTTATCTCCATGCAATCATAAACGAAACCCTTCGTATGTACCCGGTTGGTCCCTTGCTTGTCCCGCACGAGGCCTCAACCGATTGTGTTGTCGGGGGATATCGGGTCCCACGAGGTACGATGCTACTTGTGAACGTGTGGGCTATACAGAACGATCCTAATTTGTGGGAAGATCCAAGAGCGTTCAAGCCCGAGAGGTTTGCGAATTTCCAAGGGCAAAGGGACGGATTCAAGTTCGTGCCGTTTGGTTATGGGAGAAGAGGGTGTCCGGGTGAGAATCTCGCTATGCATGCCGTGGGCTTGGCACTCGCGTCCCTCATTCAGTGCTTGGAGTGGGAAAGAGTTGGATCGGAGGAGGTGGATATGAACGAAGGTCTCGGACTGACGATTCCTAAGGCTCAGCCACTTGTGGCGAAATGTAGACTGCGTCGTGAGATGGGGGAACTAATTGGCAACTATAAGTGATGAATTATTATGTTTGTGATTGCTTTTATTAACGGAAAATTCTACGGTCACGTTATACGTTCAAGGTTAAGGAGCCATCTCGTTACTTTTCAACCAATTAAATCTACCACATGTTTTATTTAGATTTACATTAACGCATCATAAATTTCCTATAATTGCGATTGTTACCTACGATATGCCCTTCTTTTTCTAGGGTATTTCTTTTTTTTTTTCAATAAATTTAGTTTGTAAGAAAATATAAGCCTAAAACTTATTATAATCTGTATTAAGAAAGTAAGCCATCCTTTTTTTTTTTTTTTTTGGTAAAAGTTCTCAAATTTTTGCAAGAATAATAATAGATCAAAATTTCCTAATAATTTTTTAAGTTACTTACTTCCTATATAAAAATTTAGAGTTTTAGATTAATTATCGAGGGACTAATTCCTTCGTATATATATAAACTGGTTTGTGGTTTCTATAAAAGTATTTAAAATTTAAACAAAAGACTATGAATTAGAAAAAAAAATATTATAATTCTGTGGACATTAGTCATTCTTGGCATCAAATTCAAAGCAAGGTTGTGGAAGAAGAAGAGGCTCTTTATGCATCTTACATGCCGCTAGCGGATGCATGTCGTCGCCATGTCACATTTGCGGTAGTTGATCATGTGGGCCGTTTTTACGACGAATAGATTTTCTTTCTAGTGAGTATGCCAAGTTATCGACCCATAAAATCTGCCCGGTCGAGATTGTGGTAGACGAGATTGCGCTGGATTCGAGGGCGAATTCGTTTCGGGAGGGTAAAAATGATGGAGACGAGATTGTATTGGCCTTTTTGGACAAGCATAATCGTTAGCATCATCGATTTAATTATTTACTTCCGTTATTTTATTTATTTCTTTTCTTTGTTTACTATTTCTTAAGGAATCATAGATTTGCTAAGAAACTTATTTATTTTATTAAGTTCTTTACTTGATGGACAATAATTTTTACTTAAATCGATCTTGAAAACTGGCACTAGAAACATGTTCGAACCTAGGCTTGTCGGTAGCCCGACTGGCCGGGCCAGGCCTAACTTGGGTTTGGGATAAAACCAAATATTGGGTTATTTCTCGGGCCGAGCCCACCTGTCCAAAAAAACATGGCCCTATACCAACTCGGTTAAAATTCGAGTCGGGCCTGGACCCGTGGTCAACAGGCCTTACGGGGCTGGGTCCAGGTCGAGTCGGTGGGCTAGGCAGCTGGCAGCCCGTGACCACTTCTAGTTGGGAGGAGTTAAATTTTAAGACTTCTTCTATTATTTACTCATATACCATTTGATTATTTACTGGAGCATTTTTCAAGACAACCTTCTCTACAATTTCATTATTTTCCGCGGTACACTTCATCATTTTGTCAAGACAACTCAGTGGCGGCGTTCGGCCTTTCGCTATCCAATTTTTTTTTTTAATTATTTAGGTTATTTTTTTTATTATTATTATATATTTATTTGGACGGAGGTACAAATTTTGGGCATAGAGTACAAATGAAAATAAAAATAAGTGACATTATTATGGGCCTTAATTACTACATGCTACGGAGAGAAGTGTTATTGGGGCTGACCCAAATCAATTTGAGTACATACGACTAGCTCAGACCTACTCTAATGGTACTGCAAAATCCAAATTTTACAGTAGAATTTGCTCCAACGGTACTGAAAAACTCATCGCAAAATGAGTTTATAACTCTCTCTCTCCATTTCGACGCAAACGTCTGAAGCAAATTTTTGCATCCAATCTTTTTTTTTTTTTTTTTTT